AACACTATAAAAAGAAAGAAAAATAAAACACTAAAAAAAATAAAGAAAAATAAAACACTAAAAAAAGAAAGAAAAATGAAACACTAAAAAAAGAAAGAAAAGTGAAACACTAAAAAAAGAAAAATAAAACACTAAAAAAAAGAAAGAAAAATGAAACACTAAAAAAAAGAAAGAAAAATAAAACACTAAAAAAAAGAAAAATAAAACACCAAAAAAGAAAGAAAAATAAAACACTAAAAAAAGAAAGAAAAATGAAACCTTAAAAAAAAGAAAAAGAAAATGCTAAAAAAAAGAATAAAATAAAACACTAAAAAAGGAAAAAAATAAAACACTAAAAAAAGAAAGAAAAATAAAACACTAAAAAAAAGAAAGAAAAATAAAACACTAAAAAAAGAAAAATAAAACACTAAAAAAAGAAAGAAAAATAAACCATTAAAAAAAGAAAGAAAAATAAAACACTAAAAAAAGAAAGAAAAATAAAACACTAAAAAAAGAATAAAATAAAACACTAAAAAAGGAAAGAAAAATAAAACACTAAAAAAAAGAAAGAAAAATAAAACACTAAGAAAAGAAAGAAAAATAAAACACTAAAAAAAAAAGGAAGAAAAAGAGGGCGAGATAGAAGAAAGATAAAAATAACAACAATAAAAACAATGCAAGAAAAGGCAGCAGAAATAAATGAATGAGGACTCCGCTTTGGAGGCCGAGGGCCGGGGCCGGGTGTCACCGGGGGACGGGCTGGTGGGTGGGGGTGCGTCCCGGGTCCTCGGGGATCCTGGAGGCCGGAGGGAGGCCGGAGGGAGGCCAGACGGAGGCCGGGCCGTTGCTGTCGCCCCTCCGCCCGCAGAGAGTCCGAGCGCGCCCAGTGGAGAGGCCGGAACGTGTCCTGCCCGGTCGTCCTGTGCAACTACAAGGCCAAGATCCCCTCGCACCAGGCCCTGACCCCGAAGGGCGAGGGCCTCGGCCTCCACCACCAGGCCTCCTCCCACCCCCTGCCTTCCATGCGGCACTCCCAGGACTGGAGGCCCTCCAGGAAGGCCGCCAAGCTGCACTACACCTTCTACGACGGGTCCTCCTTCGTGTAGTATCCTTGCCAGGGCCGCCCCGGCCTCCCTCCCCGGCCTCCCTCTCCCTGGCCTGTCTTCCCAACCTCTCTCCCCGGCCTCCCTCCCTGGTCTCTGTTCCTGGCCTCTCTTCCTGATCTCTCTCCCCGGCCTCTCTCTCCCCAGCCTCTCTCTCCCCGGGCCTGTCTCCCTGGCCTGTCTTCCCAACCTCTCTCCCCGGCCTCCCTCCCTGGTCTCTGTTCCTGGCCTCTCTTCTCAGCCTCTGTCCCTGGCCTCCCTCCCTGGTCTCTGTTCCTGGCCTCTCTTCCTGGTCTCTCTCCCCGGCCTCTCTCTCCGGGCCTCTCTCTCCCCAGCCTCTCTCTCCCCGGGCCTCTCTCCCTGGCCTCTCTTCCCGGCCTCTCTCCCTGGCCTCCCTCCCTGGTCTCTGTTCATGACCTCCCTCCCTGGCCTCTCTCCCCGGGCCTCTCTCCCTGGCCTCTCTCTCCCCGGGCCTCTCTCTCCCCGGGCCTCTCTCTCCCCAGGCCTTTCTCCCCAGCCTCTCTCTCCCCAGCCTCTCTCTCCCCGGGCCTCCCTCCCCGGCCTCCCTTCCCGGGCCTCTCTCTCCCCAGGCCTCTCTCTCCCCAGCCTCTCTCTCCCCAGGCCTCTCTCTCCCCGGCCTCTCTCCCCGGCCTGTCTTCCCAACCTCTCTCCCTGGCCTCCCTCCCTGGTCTCTGTTCCTGGCCTCTCTTCCCAGCCTCTCTCCCTGGCCTCCCTCCCTGGTCTCTGTTCCTGGCCTCTCTTCCCGGCCTCTCTCCCTGGCCTCCCTCCCTGGTCTCTGTTCCTGGCCTCTCTTCCCGGCCTCTCTCCCTGGCCTCCCTCCCTGGTCTCTGTTCCTGCTCTCTTCCCGGCCTCTCTCCCTGGCCTCCCTCCCTGGTCTCTGTTCCTGGCCTGTCTTCCCAACCTCTCTCCCCGGCCTCCCTCCCTGGTCTCTGTTCCTGGCCTCCCTCCCTGGTCTCTGTTCCTGACCTCCCTCCCTGGCCTCTCTCTCCCCAGGCCTCTCTCTCCCCGGGCCTCTCTCTCCCCGGCCTCTCTCTCCCCAGCCTCTCTCTCCCCAGCCTCTCTCTCCCCGGGCCTCTCTCTCCCTGGGCCTCTCTCTCCCGGGGCCTCTCTCTCCCCGGCCTCTCTCCCTGGCCTGTCTTCCCAACCTCTCTCCCCAGTCTCCCTCCCTGGTCTCTGTTCCTGACCTCCCTCCCTGGCCTCTCTCCCCAGCCTCTCTCTCCTCAGGCCTCTCTCCCCAGCCTCTCTCTCCCCGGCCTCTCTCTCCCCGGCCTCTCTCTCCCCGGCCTCTCTCTCTGGCCTGTCTTCCCAACCTCTCTCCCCGGCCTCCCTCCCTGGTCTCTGTTCCTGGCCTCTCTTCCCGGCCTCTGTCCCTGGCCTCCCTCCCTGGTCTCTCTCCCCAGGCCTCTCTCCCCAGCCTCTCTCTCCCTGACCTCTCTCTCCTCGGGCCTCTCTCTCCCCGGCCTGTCTTCCCAACCTCTCTCCCTGGCCTCCCTCCCTGGTCTCTGTTCCTGACCTCCTTCCCTGGCCTCTCTCTCCCCGGCGTCTCTTCCTGGCCTCTCTCTCCCCGGCGTCTCTTCCTGGCCTCTCTCTCCCCAGGCCTCTCTCCCCGGCCTCTCTCTCCCCGGCCTCCCTCCCTGGTCTCTGTTCCTGACCTCCCTCCCTGGCCTCTCTTCCCAGCTTCCCTCTCGGGCCTCTCTTCCAAGCCTTCCTCCTCGTCTTCCCTTCCCGGCCTCTCTTCCTGGCCTCTCTCCCCGGCCTCCCTCCCCGGCTTCTCTCCCCAGCCTCTCTCCCCCTAGCCTCTTTCCCTATCCTCCCTCCCCGGCCTCCCTCCCCGGCCTCCCTCCCCGGCCTCCCTCCCCGGCCTCCCTCTCTCCCCAGCCCCGGGGACGTCCCCCTCAAGCCACCAAATATGTCAAAGCTCTTCCCCCACGAGGGGAGGCCGAGGCGAGCAGGAAAGGGGCCAAATCTGAGCTTTCTCTGAACTTGATCCCTGCTAACTCGTCCCTCTCCTCCCGGTCCTCGTCCTCGACTACCCTGGGGTTCTTTTTATTTTTATTTATTTATTTTTTTTATTGACACATATTAGTCGAGCCAGACGCCCCCGCCCGGGAGGGGCGATGACAAGAGTCTGTCCAGGCCGGGCACGGTGGAGGCTCACGCCTGTCATCCCGGCACTCTTGGGGGAGGCCGAGGAGGGAGGCTCGCTCGCTGGAGGCCAGGAGTTCGAAACCAGCCTGAGCAAGAGCGAGACCCCGTCTCTACCAAAAAAAAAAAAAAAAAAAAAAAAAAAACCAGAAAGAAATCAGGCAAACAACTAGAAACCAGCTCTTTGGCCAGGCCGGCCTCCAACTACCCGGCCTCGAGCCGAGGGCCTCCCTCCTCGCCTCCCAGAGTGCGTGGGACGACGGGACTGGCTGATTTTTTTCCGCATATCCTTTAGTTGTTTGCCTTATTTCTTTCTATTTGAGTAGAGACGGGGTTCTCACTCTGTTGCGTCAGGCTGGAGCCTCCAACTCCCGGCCTCGACGAGCCCCTCCTCCCGCTCCTCGGCCTCCAGAGCTGCCAGACGACGGGCTGGCATGATGTTTTTTGCCGCCCATATTTTGTAAGTTTTCCGCTTAATCTTTCTTCTTTTGAGTAGAGACGGGGTCTCCGCTCTTTGCTCAGTGCCGGGCCTCTCAAACTCCGGCCTCGAGCGAGCGAAGCCTCCCCCTCCCCGCGCCTCCTCAGTTTCCACTTGACCCGCCGTGCCCAGCTACCCCTCGGGCAACATCGCCGTGAGCCAGAATCCCCACCTGCTGCCGGGCCAAGACGATCACCTGCCTGTTCAGCGACACGCCCGGCTTCCCCCTGCTGGCCCTGTTCAGCCCCGAGGGCCAGGGCTGCGTCCAATACAACGCACTCAAGACCGGTGGGCTGTGGCTCGGGCGGAGGGACCCAGTCGGGACCAGGGGTTCCCGTCGGCGCGCGGCGGAAGCCCCCACGCCTGTGTCGTCCCCGCCACTCTGGGGGGAGCCGAGGAGGGGAGGATCGATCAGTAGGGAGGCCGGGAGTCGCTGAGGCCGGCCTCTGGAGCTAAAGAGGCGGAGGCCCGTCTCTCTAAAAAAAATGAACAATGGAGTTGGACGATATATATATATATAAAATATATGGGAAAAAATTAGGCCAGCCTGTTCGTCCCGGCTCTGTGGGGGGAGCCGAGGAGGGAGGATTCGACTCAGCTATGAGGCCGGGGCAGTCGCTAGCCCGGGCCGTCTGGCTCCAGAGGAGCGAGGACCTCGTCTCTGCCTAAACAAATAGAAGATTGAGTCAGTCCATGGATGACTAAAGTAGATATATGGTTTTACAAGAATTAGCCAGCGCCCTGTACGATCCACAAAGAAACACATAGTGAAAGGAGAGAGCCCGAAGGAGGGAAAGAGAAAATCGAATCAAGATAAGAGTCAGTCGGAGGGCTACTGACAAGAGGTGGAGGCCCCGTCTCTGCAATAAAAAAAAAAAAAGTAGAAAGAAAATGAGTATGGACGAAACTAAAAATATAAGAGGAAAGGAAACGAGCCGGGATACATCGTGGAGGCGCAGCCTGGAGTCCCAGCTACTCGGGAAGGGAGGCCGAGGAGGGAGGAACGCTCAGAGGTCAGGAGTTTGAGGCCAGCCCTTGAACAGAGCGAGGACTCCAATCTCTCACTGAAAATAGAAATGAAATTAGGAGCTGGCCACGACTAAAAATATGTTGGAAAAAATTACGCCAGCCCTTGTGCATCCCGGCACTCTGGGAGGCGACGGCAAGAGGATCGCTCCAGGTAGAGTTGGAGGGCCGCCTGAGCAAGAGCGAGACCCCTTGTCGGGTCTACTGAAAATAGGAAAGAAGATGAGCTGGACAAATTAAAAATAGTACAGGAAAAATGAGCCGGGCGCGGAGGCTCACACCTGTAGTCCCAGCTACTCGGAGGTCGAGGCCGAGGCCGGAGGCTCGCTCAGGAGGCCAGGAGTTTCGAACCAGCGCGTGAGCAAGAGCGCGAGACCCCCGTCTCCTACTACTAAATAGAAGAAATTAATTGGCCAACTAAAAACGTTTCTATATTAGGAACAAAAAAATAGCCAGCGTCGGTGGCGCATGGCCCCATGGTAGTCCCATACTCGGTGGCAGGAGGCCGAGGCGCGGAGGCTCAGAAACAAAAAAACAACAAGACAAGGAAGACCCGGGCTG